GACAGTGTGACTCTTAATTTTAATAAGATTTCTTTTGGTGCTGTCAAAAAAGTGTTAGAAATTTGTTCATGATCCTTGTCAATGAAGAATAATCGTACAACTGGCAGCCACGCAATTCATGCAGTTCGCTCGTAATCCCGTAAGTGAAATCGTGTTCCACTCTTCCTGTATTTTGCCAGTGCTGGAATAGCGATCGGGTGTGTTACTGTTAGGTGCCACAATCGTAATTATAATGTGAAACTTTATATTTATTATTTTTTAATGTTTAAAGTGAGTATCACTGATTCTCTGAGTAGGCATCAATAAATATATTATTCAGTTGTTACTTTGGCCCATGGCAAACTCATAATCATATTAACTATTGAGAAGAGTTGTTTACCAGTTTAGTTTTAGGACAATTAGGTATAGAGTTGTAGACACAGGTGTCCTGTAAAATTGTCGTTATAGCCTACTTTTCTATTTTTCTTAAATCTTAATGAGGGCTTTTGTTTAGCTGTTTAACTTTTTTCCCCAGGAAACCAATTATCAACTATATACCTAGCCTAATTGACTTGCACAATGCACATTTGCCAAACTAAATTGTATAGATGAATAGAATATTATTTTTTTTAATGTTTACATCTTAAATTTGGGAAGATGTTTCAAACTCAAAGCCTTATATACAATTTAGAATGCTACTAAGAAGATTTGGGGGTATTATTGCAGATTAACTACATCCAAAAAAAAGGGTGTTTTTTTTTTTAATTATATGTTTTTTGAGGTGTAGATTACGAATCTGAAATCCATTTTTGGCGGTCGGCATCGGAAAACCGATTTTTTTCGCGACTTACTAACATCGTAACATGGGGGTTACGTAACTTACGTTACCCACTCACCTTTATGGCTTTATTTACTAACATGCATAGTGGCAAACCAGAGCTTTTTTAGAATCAGTTCATTTTTAATTTCCTCATTTACTCGAGAAAATGGATTTCAGATTCGTAATCTACACCCCAAAAAACATATAATTAAAAAAAAACACCCTTTTTTTGGATGTAGTTAATCTGCAATAATACCGATTTGGGTTTGCAAAAATGAACTTTTTATTTACGCTTTGACTTTTAGTCTGGTAGTAAAATCTCTTAACATTCTCCTTAGTTAGACCTTAGTCCTTATGTTTTGAGGTTTCCTGATTTTTAGCTAATGATTGATATTATGATGTGCTTAATCATCATCCTCTTGAATCTTGCTTTCTGCCATTTTAGGAGCTTGAGTCTTTGAGATTTCCACAAAATGAATTGGTTTTTTTTTTTGTGCTAGTTATATTGTACATTGAAACCTCACAAAGTCACAACACTGTCAACACAATTTACAATTTTCTCTGAAAATTACAAATTTTAATTTAATAGCCTATCTGGCTTTGCAAATACATCCATTATGGACATAAAATCTAGAAAAATATTGAAAATTATTTCGAACTCTTCATATCAGCAGCAGAGCAGCCAAATAACATTTCTTCTGTATCTACATAGTGGTGCGTAATTGTTGTATGCATAAAGCATGCGTGTGCCAAAGGCCCGCTGGGCCAAAGGACAAATGGGTCTTTTTTTATTATGGGTGGTGACAATAAGGGGTTTGATTGGGAATTGGGATAGTGTTGGATGAAAAAGAGAAATTAAGCAAGTGAAAGACTAAGGGCTGAAGGTGTGGAAGCAAAGAATGGAGGGCAGGATGGAATTCTAAAATTTACAGTTCATATATTATTTTCGCTACACCTAGACCAGTTTTTCGATACAACATTATTTGAGGCAAAAAAAATTTCTCATTCACCAAATTTCCGTATCAAGAAAAATCATATATTATTGAAAGATAATTAAAGGCATACTGTACTGAGTAATGTGAGTATTACGTCTGTTCCTCCACAAACTGCTCGTGCGCGGCAGCGGGACGTAGAATTGATGGCCGGGATTGCGCGAACACGTGCATGATGAGAATAAATTTTCATTACATTGCACCAACTGTGCACAGCAATAGCTTAAAAAAAGTGAAAATGCGCGGGAAAATTCACCGAAAACATACATCATCCTGAGAGGCTGAGTGTGGGATGTACAGCACATTCTTATCTTATCTGCCCAACCTGCTTGGCAGTTGGCATATGGTCATTTTTGAATTAGTGGTACCTTTAAACCCTCCATTTTTTTTGTTTGCACACAATTGGAGGGATTTTTGACTTTTGAGAGGTAATAACACTGAACTGTCTGAACACATGATGAGCATCACCTGCATTGGCAGTGATCAATTCAATGGATCACATAGGTGACTAATGAAAAAGACCTGGTTTCCTCCAGCTGGTTTCCACTTTCCTGCTTCCTCTGTTACTCTGTGAAAACCCTCTCACCGTCTCATGCTTGTTTCAGCTTTCAGGTGCCAGCCTCCGCAGGTAACCACTGCACACTGGCAACCTGCTTTCACTGTGTAGGCTACGACCCTTACTGCTCATATTCTGTTGTGCTTAATCGCATAGTGGCAAAGCAGAGAGTTTTTTAGACTCTCCCTCGAGTTCATTTTTGAGTCCTATAAGTAGACCAGTAAAGTATCCTGGATACCAGCATTATCATACATAAGAAATCGGTTTAAATCTTGAGTAAATGAGGAAATTAAAAATGAACTGAACTGATTCTAAAAAAGCTCTGGTTTACCACTATGCTTAATCGGTTACGCCTGCTGTGACAGGTTGCCCGATGCCCATTGCTGCTAGTGTGACAGTGACACTGCGCAATTTACCAACAAATCCCATTCGAAGCAGGGCAGTGGGAGTGGTGGTCTCCTTCCTCCAGTCCAACAGGAATCCCGCTGCAAACCTGCAGCTAGCCGCTAGGCCTACTCACCTACCGACCCCATTCAGGCCCATTGATGCACCTTCTTTAGTTTCCTTCTGCGGAAATCGTCGCCAAATATTGGTAAATACGTCGACAACTACAAGATCATTTTATGGCGTTAATTTTATGCTGATGCGTCTCCGAAGACTTTCACTCACTCCCTGCACTGCAGTCTGCACGGCTGAACCCTGGGCCTGGCTTCTCAGTGAGACAGCGACCAGCGTTCAGTGAGCCGCCCACAGCTTCTCTTCTTGTTTGATGATTACTGGAGCTTTGGAGACCTGTCCATGTAGCTCCACGTCTGCAGGGGGTTTCAGTTGTTACAGCAGTCCCACCAGTCACACGACTGCTCCACAATTCAGAGACTGCAGCAGTCCCAGCAACTGTGTGCACATGAAGAATGTCATTAGCTTAAAGCATCATAAACATTGTGTCAATTGGTCAGCTACAGCTCATAAAATTGGGGAGTTTATCGTGTGAAGTTACCAGCGCCATCAGCCCGCTCTGGATCTGGAAAACAAGGCGAGTGTAAGTTTGGGGCTTCCTGTCTTTAATTAAAAACAGTGAATTGAGGGAGTCTGTGAAAATGACAATTTTTTCTTGATGTCTGAGGTTGTGTTGTGCCCACACCAATGCCTCATGGATGGCAAAGAGCTCTGGAGCCCACAGCTCCGGGTCCCCGGGACGGCGGCCCGGGAGCGCCGGACCGATCCGGGGTCCGCCAGTCCAGACATAATAATAGCGGTTTCAGCGTTTTAGTAGGCCGTAGGCCTGTCGCTAATTCTTAACATCGCAGAACATTCACAGCATTTTGCGGTCTCGAAAGTCGAAATCACAACTCACTGCTACAATTCTGCTTTGCTTCACCGCCTGGCCTCCTTGCCGATTCTGACCAGAAACTTGGCACAGAGCTGGGGTCGAACCCGTTCCTCTCTGCGTCAGTCATGGTACTCGGAACTGTAACCACTGGGCCACCCTGCCTCCCACTGGGCCATGATTTCCAATTTAGATTAGCTCGATCAAAAAATGTATTTTTCTGTGGTCTTGATGTGCTGGTCGGAGGAAACTTTTCTTGGTATATTTAAACATTGCATATGTAAAAATTTCAAGCTTTATCGACGTTTCAGATGATTTGCAGCCTTTTATTTCTTGTGGGCAACCTTAAATTCGGAAGGATTGGTTCTGGCAGTCTAATGCAGGCTGGTGACTCGCACAAATGCTTGGCGATTGTTTATTTCAGGCGGTTTCTGCATGTGTAGGGTGTGACCTAACACCGCCGGAGGTAAAGTGCGCGTGGTGTTGCTTTTATGTGTTGATCGGTTAGCATGTAGTATTCATCACTCCCGAGAATAAATGCAAAGACAGCTTGCATTTATGCGCAATGCCTATCTCTTTCGCTTCATTCCTCCTCTGGGTTGGGCGACAAGTGGCCTAGAGCGTTCTTTACTCCCTTCGTCTCCGTACTCTATTTTGCAATATGTAAAGCAAGGTGAATGCCTAAATAAAGAAAATTCCGTGTGATGTACATAAGATTCAGGTAGGGAGTTTGGCTGGGACGGTACATCAGTCAAACAATATCGCAGGTTTCCCCAAGGCCATAACGAGAACGAAATACTCGTGTGGAGTATAAAGGCCTGAACTTACGGGATTCTAACACTCATTAGTAGGTATGTACGGTGAAAGTCAGGCCTTATGATTCTGTTGTTACAGTGAATTTACAGCAACAGGTAAGAGAAACGTTACCGCAGCAATTTCTGGCTTGTGGTGGCCTAATGTCCTTGGCGGCGTCGCTTTTTGATCCTACGATGTCGGTTCTTCCTACCGTTAAGTTGCAACTGGCCCACATCGGGTCAGATTGTGTTCATCCTTCTGAGTAGGGAACGTGAGCTGGGTTTAGACCGTATAACGGCTGACCTGATACTCGTGAAATTATGACAGGTTTTTTGTCGCTTTTTAAAGTGAACAAATTGTTAGGTTTGGGACAACTTTCGAGTTGAATTTAAAAAGTTTGGGTTTTTAAAATTTGGTAACCCAAATTTAATAGTTGGGGTTGCCATCCACAATGATCACGGTAATTAATCAGGCCGGGTCATCTGCTCTTGATCGACTACTATAAAAATTTTGAGAAAATAAAAGGATCGCTTGAGTACAATTTTATGTACAAAACAAATTCAAGTACACAAGAGATTTCGATAAAAATATCATGATTCTACACATTCACTTCGGCTTAGTAGCTGAACACAAGACATTTATTTATTACATTATCTAAAATATGCACAGATCGTTAACAAACAACAAAGATCATTGTACAAATGAATGAAGACGACGATTAAAAACTTAATTATATTTAACGCAACTTCGTTCATACAAAAATTAGTTTCTTTATGAAATGTCTGGCTACCTGACCGTAAAATTCAAAACTTATTTTTCGAGGTATGGATGCAAAGAAGTGCAATAAAATCCCAACTAACAAATCAAAATTATTTAGTAACACAAAAAAATTTTACAGAAAAAACTTCATCTGAAATTTACATGCAAAATGTAAACAGATATTTCCTAGACAGCCTGTTCTAGGTCAGAACTCAAGAACCTCGAAAACCGGAACTTATCGAGTCATCTAACATTTTGAATGGAATTAAATTATCCCGAATAATACTTTTGAGATAAACCTGCAGACGAAATTCTTGAAATTTCACTTCAATATCGTGTAAAATATCGAAATTCAATATCATGTTATCCAGGTTAGTCCAGTTCTGTGGAGTTACACACGAATATGTTATAATTATCAGATTAAGTTATACCCACTGCGTTTTATAACGACCTCGTCCCCGATCAGCTAGTAACGATTGCCTCGAACGCTGCTGCCCTACCAACAGCGGTGCCCCTGGCAGGAAGCACCCCTCCCTGTATGCGTCACTGCCTGATTCACTGCAATAAAGTGGCCGCAGCCTCGGGCAAGTCGTATGACACACATCAGTCTACGGCACTTGCCGCCTTCGTTTGCAGGAAGCAAACATTAATTACCAGTTGAAAACGAATAGGGTAATTTACAATAATGCACGATTATCAATATTTTGATTCTATAAGAACATTACATTTCTCGAGAACTTACACCACGCAGCAGCCAGCATAATTGAATTGAATAATAATTACAATAGGCTTCATTAGGCCCCATTTCTTACGGTGTCAAAAGTCCACAATTATAGTCAGTTTGCACAGAGCAAAAATTCCAAATAAGCGAGAATTATTACACCTCGACCAATTCCAAGGATTTGCTCCCAGAAAGCACCAAGGCACCATCGCGCTAGTTCAAAATTTTTTGAAGCACTTTTCAGTGAGAACTCAAGGCTAGCTGTGGTCTTCATTTTACAACAGGAAGTGAATTACTTAATACAATATTTGACTTCAATTCCAGTAACTGTATTGTTCGCGCTGAGACATTGGCTGAAAAGCACACATCACGCAAGATGCAACAATTATTCTTTTGGTTTAATTAATAGTAATAATTCAATTCATGTTAATTAAAGATTGACCGAAAGATAGGTTTTGATTAGGCCACAATCTAGGCTTCTTTTACGCTCGAAACTTTAGACTTGGCTCCTTGCCGCCCTGTCAGTTTCTATGAGGCACTCCCTGACAAGTATCCTGGCATGCACGATGCCGCGTTTGAGCCGTTCAGCGCTGCTTTTGCTGCCAGCGTAGGTGGGGCGGATGTCTTTGCCCATCTCCTCGATGACTGCAAGCAGTTGCTGGTACTTGGACATACCGCCCGTGTTGGTGGTGGTCGTGGGTGCCGTCAACGTAGTGATCAGGTCTGTCTCTGGTGCTGCTTGTAGGCGAGCGAGAGCTTCTGCTTCCTGAATGAGAATGAGGATTTTAGGGCGCATGAATCAATGGAAATTATCACAACTGCTTACAATTGTCTACAGCTACAGGAGAATCTGAACGCTAAAGAAATTTTGTTAGCAAACATGTGTAAACAGCCAAAGGAACAACATTCTGAAATTTAGAAAATTTGAAACGTCAAAACTCATCCAAAACGCCCCTATGGAGGAGCAGACAGGTACCTACGTGTATAGAGCTTTTGACACCATTAGGCCATGAACCAAAATAACCATAGTCAATGCCACAATATGCAATTAATTCTTGACTGAAGTTAAGACGCTAATTGCCTGAACACATCTCCTGTAATGCTTCTTAGCTTAATCAGTAATTCTATCGGCCTAGTTTAAATGATTACATCAACTGTTGTGGACTAGTCGGCTGGTGACATAGCCAATTGTTGAGTCCGTACGTAGACTGTTGATTCACCAGTTTTTGCTGCATCAGATGGTACATGATATGGATAAGAACGTTTACCATTATTGAAAAGTACTCACATCCTTAACATAAAATACTGAATTGAAAAATGTAGGTATGCTTTTCTATCGGTATACATAGGAAGTCATGCTCTTGATAGAAATAAAACAAGCAAACGCTATACAAGTGGCATGGCACTTACATAAGCACACAAGAGTTCATAAAAATATTATGAGAAGTTATATAGAATTCTTGTGGCCACGATAAACACTCCAAAAAAATGTAAATATTACAGAACAAATCATTTTGTAAGCACTTATTTACTCGCCAACCAAGAATGCCTACGAAGTATTACTGATAACATCAGACTGTATCAACGGAGACCATCGTGTCCATGTGTGCAATCAAACATGTTGAAATACATTTTTGAATTCCCAGGGTAAATAAATGATTAGTTTGAAGGAAACTGAGCAGGATAAGATGTTCAAGAAAGTAGTGCCCATTTTTTAAGAGATGGTTAACTCATATGATAACTGCAGTAATAATAGTGGCGTGCGCAATCAACAATAACGAGAAAAAGGGACGCTGATGCACTCCTTGCAAACATTTAGCACTAATTATTAGCGTTTTTACTTGCTGTAATTGATATTAGCAAAATAGAAATTTAAGCACCATGGTTATTTTAGATTATGCTTCCACAAGATCATGACTACCGATAGTTATTTATACTAAACTTACTTTCTGAATGATTTTAGTTACCATCACATAAATCTATAACTACAAATTCCTCACCAGTTTTCGCAGCTCAGCCAAATCGGCTTTACTGAGTCCAGCAGCAGCAGCTGCAGCTTGCATCTGCTGGGCCTCGAGTTTGGTGAGCTGGGCGAGCGTGCCAGGGTCCAGTTTACCAACAATGCTAGGCTCAACCTTAACCAGCTGAGCTAGTGTGTGTATATCCAACTTGCTGAGCGTGTGTGAGTCAAGTTTAGCTATCTGTGCGAGCTGAGCGTCTAGTTTAGACATGGTCTGTGAGTCCATCTTGGCAAGCTGGGCTAGAGCATTGTTATCCAGAGTGCTGAGCGTCTGTATGTCCATTTTCAGAAGTTGGTTGATCGTCGTGTGGTCCAGCTTTGCCAGCATGTGCTGATCCAACTTTGCAAGATGAGCCACTGCAGCGGGATTCATTTTCATCAAAGTTTGAGAGTCAAGTTTTGCCATATTGGTATCCATCTTGGCCATCTTGTGGTGGTCCATCTTATTTGAACTAAGACTAGACTCAGGCTTGCTGTGCTGCCCTGCTGACATACTTTCCATCTTGCTGCTCTGATCAACTTTGACAAGCTGAGCTAGTGTGGCATGATCCAATTTAGACAAAGTGTGAGCATCCAACTTAGCCAACTGAGCCAAGGTATTCGGATCGAGCTTGGAGAGCAAATGAGGATCCATCTTGCTCAGCTGAGCCATCTGAGCAGAATCCATCTTATTGAGAGCATGAGCCGCCCTGGCCTGAGCCTGCATGAGTGCGTCGTGACGAACTAGTTGCGTCAGGGCTGTGTGGTCTAGTTTGGAGAGAGTGTGGGCATCAAGCTTGGCCAAGTGGTTCATAGTACTTGTATCCAATTTAGCCAGCATCATGGGGTCGAGCTTTGTAAGCTGATTTAAAGCAGCCTGATCAATCTTCTTCAGGATGTGAGGGTCAAGTTTAGCAAGCTGAGCTAGCATGGCCTGGTCGTTTTTGGACATGTTCATTGTGGTAGGAGAAGCAGCAGCAGCAGCTGCGGCAGCGGCAGCCGCCGCATCCACTTTCACAAGCTGTGTCAAGGTTGCATGGTCTAATTTACTAAAGCTGGCAGCATCGAGTTTGGAAAGCTGTGCCAATGTGTTAGGATCAAGCTTTGACAGCAAATTATGATCAAGTTTAGCCAGTAAGTTGGCTGTTGCAAGACTAGCTTCCTGCAACTTGGCTATGTATGCTGTGTCACTTTTGCTGTGGTGCGAGGAGTGTGGTGATGGCAGGCCTACCGAGAGAGAGGAATGAGGCACTGATGAGTGAGGAGAGGGGTAGGAGTGGGAAGAGTGGTCACTGGACTTCCCAGCACCAGATGAAGAGCTCATCAGCTTGACATCCACATCATTGCGGTAGCCAGCAGCTGCCACAGCAGCAGCCGCAGAAGATAGAGTTATGGGGTCTAAGCTGACACCCATCTTGGCCAAGAGGGCAAAGTCAATGGGAGGCTGTAGCTTTGCTAGTGATTCCATTGTGGCTTGTTGTGACGATGACAAGCCCTTGTCATGCCTGAAATAAAAGATTACTGTCAATCAAAGCTTTTACACTACAATTCCTAGCTAAAACAGTAATATACTACCAATTCAACAACCAAAAAAAGATGAGAGAAAAAAAGTAGTAGTGATTGTACCCAACAGGAAAAGTGTGGAAACGGAAGTCTTCTTTTTGCATTTTTACATTTCTTACGCCACCCCAGCACCACTATCAGCAGTGAGAAGCAAGAAACAGCATCGTGCATCAGCTGGCCCAAAGGGGGCAAATGCACGTTAGTCAAAGGTGGCAATACATCAGGGCCTGGGACTGCTATGACCAAAACATACACAAAGGATACAGTACTAAAGAATAATGTAAGTTGGAATGTGTCTCATACTACAAGTTGATAGATAGTGGAACAGGCACTTTAAGGACAGCAATAATACCCACAGCAATTTTGGGTATGATTATCACACTGTATCAGAAGAAATGACCAGATTATGCCAGCATTTAAATGTTTAAAGTTTTTTATGCGAAATTAAATAAGTAAATATATGGTATATTATTTGGCAGTTGGGCAGCAAATCTGTCAGAAGAAATATTTTGGCAGGTATAAAAACTACAACTCAATAGCTTAAGTATAGGAAATCAAAAATGCAGATTGTGTGTAATGTAGATATGTTGCTTGCAATTAATACACTAGACCTTAAAATATGAGCCATTGAGTCTACAAAATAGTATTTATACTGAGGAATTGAACAGATCCTCAAGTTGTTATGAGCAATAGTCAAAAATTTTTTGAGTGCAAATTATAGACGTTACTATATCTATATGATGAGCTATGATGTTAGGCAGTTAGAAAATAAAAAATTTAGCAGCACTAGGAGTATCTCCTATGGAACACAAGTTGAAATAGAAAAAAAGCAATTCAGATGTAAAAAGTGAAAAAGTAAGTAGAAAGGGCAGAAAATTATTAGGATATGGGCAGGTAATAAATAGCAATTTGGTGGCAATAATCCTCTACACACCCTTTATAGCACTTCTACCTTGCATAAAATAATGGAAGCAGACTTAGAGGCAAGACTGAAAGTGACGAGAATCCCTACCTAGGAATTGGTGGCAGGGAGTCAATAAGTGAGCTAAGAGAAGCAGAGTTGAAGGAAGAACTTGAGTAAAAGTCTCTATGAGAATCTAACTGCTTCTCTATGGCTCTTATAATCTTGGCTTCACTTCTCTTCTCTCGCATTCTAAGCCTGGCCTCCAGCCTCCTCATATGAATGGTCTTCTTCCTAAATCTTGGCATATCAATTTAGCTCATAACAAATCTGGAACTCGTTCTGTAAGAACACATGGTAAAAGTTAGCAGCATGACTAGAACTTGAATTTCAAGTACAGCAAGGCTTCTATCATGTTCCAACTCAGCTGTATTCAGTTATTAAAACAGAAAAAAAGTTATTCTGCAGAGTTGAGATCAGCATGACTTTCTAAAATCAGTTCCACTTGATGTTATGATTGAGTGAATAAATATTTTGATAAGGTCAATAGATAAATTATTTAATCTTTATTAATTAAAATATTAATAATCTTTACTTCACTCAATTGATGTATTGAGCTAACCTTTATATACTTGTCAGAATATCAAGATGAGGTAGAGAGTAATATAATTTTTTTTTTGTTAACTGGTTGAAATTATTTGATCAGAACTATAGTTTCATTCTGGAATCAAATATCAATAAAAATCAGCATATTTTACAGAAAAAGTCACTTTGGCCTGGATTATTATCAGTCGAGTGACTTGTGAAGAATACCTATATAAATACATGTTACAATATACACAGTTAAGGTTATTTTACATTTCACCAGAGGACTGAGGAGTACCTATATATAGATACTGGTAATTTGTATCACAGATTACCAGATTTTTAAGTAAATGCTTCAATTTAGTCAATAGCTAAAAGGGACTTTTAAGTAATCTGTCAGCTCAATGATATAGTTTTTTCAAAAATTTTATGCAAGATAATTTATCTAGCACTAATCTTATAGATCCATCAACAGCAAGAAAGCTCAGGGATTGCTCAGAAAATTTTATACCTTCTATGGGCTATGGTATAGTACTAGAATTGGCCCATGGTCAAAAGTCTAGGGACTTGGCTCTGCTCATCTCACCCACTTGACTGAAGGCTTTTAGTAATGACTAATATTTTAATAAATGATTTTTATGGACTTTGGAGTTGGTATATGACAAAAATAACATCAAACCTGAAGTTATTGTCTTGGAAAAACATACTGTGTTGGCAGGCCTACCGAGACAATCCAATCCTCCCAAAAAAACAATCCAATCCTCCCGGGAATACAATCCTCCCAAAAAAAATTTTCAGGGCTAAAATGTGTTTTTTACATTTTACTTTGTCTTTGAGAACATACAGTATACAAATTAAATTAATACAAAAGTTAAAATTGATCTTAAAGTTAAAGTTTAAGTTGGGGTTGGGCTAACATAAAATTGTAACAAATAATTTATGAAGTATATTTATCCAGCAATAAAAAAAATGCAGGAATACATGCAAATGAACTTTGTCTTTCATCATTTCATGTAAAGGAAATATCTGATGGTGACTTTTCATTGCATCACAATGGGCCTGGGGCCTGGAATGACTATAGGACAAGTTGGGGACTTGGGGTATTGAGGTGCCTAGTTATATCAAGATAATTTTTAATTAGCCATTTTCTTCAACATAAAATTGGCATGGGTTGTTTTTAGAGTTGAGCACTATACTGTATATGCAATATGCCCAAATTATCTAAGCAAATAGTAAAAATTTACCAATAAAATTTCCTATGTAAAGTGTAAACTGCAATTTAGAGTCATAGGTTATTTATTGTCTTCATTTCACATTTTAGTTAACAATTTTACATTAAAGTATTATATATATTCATATTGATATAGTTACCAATATATTTAATACAAATTTTATGCTAATAAATTTTTGTGACAAAGAGAAATTCATTTTAAACAATTTTCCTTTAGACTTTAGTTTATAGCTAGCCTAACTTTTTACTTTTAGAATAGAGAATTTGTAAATAATAAATGAATGATAAAATGTTCTCAGCCTCTCAGGGGCAGTTCATTTATCAAAAAATTTATTTGCGAGAATGAGCTTAGTGAACCAAACTTCTAAACTTAAAGTGTGTTCTACTGTTAGTGTTACCGTGTTACGAACTTAGGCTACGACGTCTGTTAGTGAGAACTGAGAAACAACTTTTTATGATTTACGAAATAAAAAAGATACAAGTCATTTAAAAGATGCTAACTATCGCTATCTAACAATTAACTCAATAACTTAAACTCATCTAGACGAACACTGGATGCTTGCATTGTCAAGTCAAGTGTGAACTGTGTAATTATCATAACCCAAACTAATAATAATGTCCCGTGCCGTCGGTGCCGACTGCCGACGCGTCTAAAAATTTGGGGCAAGCAAGTACAGTTTTCGATACAGTCTCTTGGTCTTGAGAACAAAAATTATAACACATCAAAATGAGGACCATCTAAACAAAATTTATCCCTAAATAAGAATATTAACTTTGCATAGATTATATTACTAGGATCTAACATTCCCAAGAATTTCACGCTTCATTAAAATTTGACGCTTTCGGCACAAGAGCCAAACCAGAGGAACGCGATAGTTAGCGTTCAAGTGAGCTCTTTTACTTGAAAAATGGGCAATTTGGATACGAAACAGAATTACATATATTATTACCTGCTACTTGAGGGTTGATTGCGAGAGTTCTGCATATTGGCCAAGGACAAATTTTCTCTCGTTATGCGATAACTGAACTTGCTACTACGCACAGACAATAGATAAACATACTATACTGGCGTATACTGACAACTGCATGAAAACGAACGCTTGGCATCGATACGGACGTTGCTTTCTCCTCCGAGGATGAAGCCACTAACTTTGCTGCAGCGATATCGCTTGCAGTATGTAATTCTTTTCAATGGACAGTACTGCAGATTACTGATACTAAAATTTTTAGTATATCTACTGAATAGCAACCGCAAAATTAATATTATCATACTAACATTTTAAAGCTTCTACAAGAAATTGAGAGTTGCAAGTCCGTTAGTTGAAAACAACAAACAGGAAAACAATTGACAATATTCGTTTAAGACATTTGAAGTCAACTATCATATGATCAAAGATGGGTTTTGAGATTAAACTATTTGAATTAATGGCAAGTATAACTGTCGCTACGCTTTGAGACACCGAATCGACACTTCAGCGAACTCGCCTGTGAGCTCGAAACTCTGGCACTCATAAATCCTTCAATAATGAACGGATTTTATTCAAATTTGAAATATAAGTAGATAATATCAGTAATTTGCGGACGAAATTTTTTCTGATTTTTACATCAATAACTTTTTTGTTAATGCGGAAAACCTAACTTCATTTTCAACTCTGGCACTCATAAATCCTTCAATTATGAACGGATTTTATTCAAATTTGAAATATAAGTAGATAATATCAGTAATTTGCGGACGGAATTTTTTTCACATTTTTACATCAATAAATTTTTTGTTAATACGGAAAACATAACTTCATTTTCAACTGTGGCACTCATAAATCCGTCAATTATGAACGGATTTTATTCAAATTTGAAATATAAGTAGATAATATCAGTAATTTGCAGACGGAATTTTTTCAAATTTTTACATCAATAACTTTTTTCTTAATACGGAAAACCTAACTTAATTTTCAACTCTGGCACTCATAAATCCTTCAGTAATGAATGGATTTTATTCAAATTTGAAATATAAGTGAATTATAAGTAGTAATTTGCGGACGGATTTTTTTCAAATTTTTACATTCGTTACTTTTTTATTATCACGGAAAACCTAACTTCACGTTCACCTCGCAGGTTAGGTCCTAGTCAGGTCAAGTTTCAGTATTTTGTGGCATTAACAAAAAGTAATTGACGTAAAAATCTGAAATAAATCCGTCCACAAATTACTGATATTATCTACTTATATTTCAAATTTGAATAAAATCCGTTCATTATTGACGGATTTATGAGTGCCACAGTTGAAAATTAAGTTAGGTTTTCCGTATTAACAAAAAAGTTATTGATGTAAAAATCAGAAAAAATTCCGTCCGCAAATTACTGATATCATCTACTTGTATTTCAAATTTGAATAAAATCCGTTCATTATTGAAGGATTTATGAGTGCCTGAGTTGAAAATGAAGTTAGGTTTTGCATTCGAGTTCGCAGGCCAGTTCGCACGCGAGTTCGCTGAAGTGTCGGACCGGTCTTTGGGACTGAGAACGAAAGACCCGAAAATCTTAAATTGTGTGGATGATAGAAATACGATGTACACGAGATTGTATGGAGATGACACGACCGATTTCGATTACAAAATAATATTTCATTGGGTTTCTGAATGCGCCTTAACATCCAGCTTGAACGCTAATAGGTTGGTAGACCTTCATTCAGATATAGATAACCCATCTCGTTCCGTTGGAAATTTATGTCTTATTTTTTACTTCAAGCTTCCTTTCCTAGCACAATTAATCATGTGGATGCAGTAGTACGCTGTTGTAAACGAGTCGACGCCTGCGCTAAACATTTATTACTTTTACGATGCAAATGTGCAAGACCTTTAAATGTTCCTCAACTAAAATAGGCTAAGAACCACTACTATCCTGAAGCAGTGCTGTTCAAACTGCATCAGAAATAATTTGTGTATATCATGGGAATTCAAGACAGAGAAAATATCATCCAAATCCTTCATCAATATTGAATACGACTATATCGTTCTTACCCAGTTTTTTTGTGCATTACACAATGAACACCAAGTGGAGTATTTCTTAACAACGCAAAATAGTATCGCTTTACTTTCTTCGTGAATCTATTCAAATTAACTTTGGAATTATGAGACCAGGAATGCAGAGAACATCCATAATGGAAACTCCTAAAACTCTTTGAGATTTTCTTAACAAATTTCCGATGAACTAAACTATGCATCATTCCCACAGAGGATATCCCATTTTTGCAGAATCCGGAGCGCTTACTTCGGGAACGGTCGATCAAGCATTAACCTAACACCAAACGATATAGAATACCAAGGTTTAATGAAACAAAATATGCCTCAGGAATGAATAAAGTAATTAAAAAATATTCTAGTCTACGGTACGAAATACTATAGTCAAATTTGAAGCATTCCGAAAAAGAGACAAGACTGTCGTAGTTACGCCCGTAGAAATTAATAACTCTGAACTGCATGTAACATACTTGTTGCCATCGAGAAATATCATAACATCATTTAAATCAGATGACATCATTATATATAAAACTAAATGAAAGATTTCTTTCGAATCAAATAAGTTTCCACATTGAACGTAAAACGGCAATTCCCACACATAATCCGATCTGATAAAACTAGAGAATAGCGAGACCGGAACGACGAATTCAATTAAAGCCTTCAAAAGTAAAGCTAATGTTAAACCATCAAATGTTCCTGGCTCAAGATCAGAAAACGAGCTACCTAACGAAAAGTGAGCCCTAGAGTAAGCCGTTCAATTCCCGTAATAAATGCATTTCCAGTTTCAGATTAACATGATGCAATCGTGCAAAATTTCCTCCCAAAATAATTCTAACAACTAATTGGTTGGCGGTGAGAGGAATTTTCTCCGGGCAGGCCTTTTTACATCACTAGAAATTTCGAATTGTGGGTCCCTAGAATGTTATTAGTGCAGAAAGCACCACGTAAAAAAATCAACTGATGATGTCTTAAACGGCGAACCGACAAATCCAGTTGCTCCTTACTCTCATAATTTACCCTATCGACAAAATAATTTCCATGTCTAATATTCCGTTAATGGAGGAAAGTTAGAAGGGCATGTGATGGGCTTCGAATGATAATAATGTAATTCATAAGGCACATTTGTTCATAAATGCGAAATCGTATTGAAATGTAATGAACACAAATAACAGCAAAATTCGTCGCTTAAAAAGTACACACCTAGCCAGCACGTTGCACTTCATGCTCTTTGGAGAGCATAACAAACGTTTCTCAGTATCCTAACTTTATTAACAATATAACGTAAGTAGACGGTAAATTATTAACAATATAACGTGAGTAGACGGTAAATTCATCAGTGACACGTTGCAAAAGCCTTTTGCTTTCTTCTGAAAAATATCAAAATGGCAATAGCCCTGCCGGCTTATAAGGAAAGCGATAACATGCATGCAGCACGGATTCTATAAAACATACGCGTGAAAAAAAAAAACGTTCTCTTCATCGCCAATTGCTCAGTTCAATCGCAAACACCAAATTTTACGCATGGTGTGAACGAAATTCCTTAGAGTAAAACATAAATAGTGAGTAAGAAATAATAATTCGGGGAAAAAATCGGGTCAAGGAGCATGAATAATGTAGCAATAATGTATGAGATATCCAACTTCAATAATATAAAGAAAATTTATGGAGTGGAACGTAGTACTACAGGAATGTTGGTGAGAAATCAAACCAATAAAAAGGAACAACGTAGTCGATATCAGGTAAACGTAATTTACAGCATCCGGCCTCACAGAGATATGCAAGAAAAATGTTGACACAAATATTTATGTAAGCAAGTTATTCATGGCACTCATGACGGGAATGAAACATGGGCTACCTTATTCATTAATAAATTTATATCACTATTGGAAAAGAATCCTGTAACATGAACTGAAAAATGTAAGAGGATTGAGAATAGCGAAATTGCCAAACCAGCATTAAAGAAATTCAGGCAAAAGTTTTAATCCCAACTGTACAGGCGAACAACATTTGCTCCGGTTGTTGTAGAGTATTCAGTCACAATAATTACAAATAAATCAAAATAATCTTAAACGATTAAAAGTAACATTTCCAACAGTTTGTTTATATACGAGTTCATCGCATGATATTGTGCAGGCCTTTATAATTGTCCACGCATTGTGACTAACGGCAGACGTGGGATGTTTAGATTTTATTTGGAATGTAAGCCTCAGAATTTATAAGTTAAACTATAGTTATAGTTGTACAATGTACATGTAATTTGATTCATGCAAATATTATTCTCATCTATGATATTAAGGTCATGAAAAAAAGATGTTGATCTCCTAAACAGTGCAAATAGAATGCCATTTTGTACAACACTCTGCTGAGCTACGCTTGAACGTCAACATCAGGAAGGCTTAGCAGAGGAGAGGTAAGACAAATTTTATGGCCGAGTCAACTTCTCAGCAGAGATTTTGTGCAAGAAAAAAATCAGAATAAATACTTAAGGTAGATAATCGAACTTATAGTCAAAAATATTAAAAAATGTTACATGAAAGTACAACAGGTGCTTTATGAAAGACGAGGTGGCAGACTTGCCGCTTGAGGTTGAGTTATTCATAAAAAATATATATTCATCAACAAATTCTGCTAGTTTTTCCAAGTGTAGATCTACAGGACAGGACTTAAACTTCAACAACTACAGATTTATCCGCCGAATATTTGTGCAATATATAAATTACCGAAATAAATCTGGCGCACGACCGCGTCTGAGTATTGACAAGCATGGAAGCCCGTTCACTCATGGTTCACTAGCGGCCAAGAAGGTAAAAAAAAAAACATTTTTCAGAGGAATACATAACCATTTTGTATCTTGGCACAAAAAAAGAGGTGCGAAGATAGTTTCCTGCAAGATTGCAGGACGAAGAGCTGCCACCACAGCATAAGTCATTATAAACATCACGAATGAAATAAAAGCGTGAGAAAGAACAGCCCAACATGTGCGACAATTGAAGCTTATTATCATTTATTGTGTTGATTAGCGGTTTTCGCGAGTTCTTCTAGCTGCATTGACAAATTAGGCATAGCAAGACCTCATGAAAGAGAGCCGTGGTTTCTCTTGAACTATGGCCATGTTTCAAGATAACACACGCACCACATAGCCATGATGAGTGGACGGAAAAGCAAGGCACATTTGTTTCTTTTTAATGCAATAAAAAAAAGTTAGGCCACACACCCATACTTCTAGAGAGCAGTCATAAGGCACATCAATAAGGAAGCTAAACATTTCCGTAACAAGTGATCTAAAAATGTGTACCTATAGGAATGATGAGTTTTATACTATTTATTGCTACAAAATTAGTGAGAAAATCGTTTTTTTAACCTAATGTAGAAAAATGAACGAGAAAGAAGATGAATATGATAAAAATCAGACACTGAATCACGTAAGCGACTGAGAAACGTTCAACAAACATTCAGTAAACAACATTCAATGAGAAAGTTCAATAACTCTCATTAAAGAGAGGTATGGGAGTTAACAACACTTACATTTAGGAATATCTTTAACTAATACTGAGTATATTTCTCTTGATTAAACTAGTCGGAAGGTTTCGAGCGCGATAAACTACCTCGACAGCTGGGATATTGGTCGTGAGCATCGTGGCATATACAATGCTTGGTAGATAACATGGTGGAAAGGTTCGTTTGTCTATAACGTCATTAAAAAACGATACCAAGCCTTATAATATATATGAAAATAACGTATCGAATCTAATTATCTCATTCACAACGGAAATTGTGACAATGAATAGCGTTTATTTTTGACACGTAATTCACAATTAAACATCTTGTATATTTAATATTGGCTTTGTAACGAATAAAAATTTGAAGACATCATGCTAAATTTAAAATCTCAAAATTACTCGCACGTCCGTTACACAATAAAACACTTCAAATATTTGTCCTCCATCCATCCTACCATTAGTGTTCCCAGATTCTCAAAGTCTTAAAGTGCTCACGAATTCACGAGATGTGACGCAATAGTTACTCATAAATATCAATTTTTGTACCACTTGATTAAAAACCGAGTTTGTTGACAACTTAATTTTAATACACATGAACGAAATATGGTGCAATTTCCGCAGGTCAACGATTAAGGCTGAGATTCTTGCAAGACTTAAATGTTTTTGATGTCAATACGAAGAGAAGGTTCATCTGTTGAGATCTGACGGTGCTTCTTCCAACTTACGCCAAACCACCTGCAGGATATGAAGTCGACGTCTAATTAATTCACCTCACACACCCAGGACAAAATCAAATTAGCATTTTATGATAAAAGGAAAATAAGCCAATATAACTGAAAATACCGGCACTAACTAGGTTGCTGAAATTAACTGGATTGAATAGAAGAAGCTGATACTGCGCGCAATGGCCCATAAAATCACAAAATATATCAGAGGCATCTAACTGAATAAACGGTCTATCAAGGCAATATAGGTAGTTAATAATATTGTCTTTATTTGCTTATGAAGCTTATGAGGCATTCATAATAAATCGTTCTTAAAGCTTGCATCAGAATCCACGTTCAGCAAGACAGAGTGACACTTTCCATCACTACTCACATTACACATCTGGTGCAGCAAGGCAGAACAACACCTGCCATCACAACTCACATTACACATCTGGTGCAGCAAGACAGAGCAACACCTGCCATCACAACTCACATTACACATCTGGTGCAGCAAGGCTTTCTCGTTGTCAGTGAGGGCGCCATCTTTCTCTTTGGACGCCATGTGGGAGCGAGCTGGTGGCGGATCCAGAGGGTCCAGCTGGGCCTGCAGGTTTGGATGCGGAGAACTTGACGCGCTAACGCTGCCTCGGCCTTTTGGTAGGTGTCTGCAGGTGTGAACAGTAGTCAGCAAGCAATATAAAATAGACTTAATTTCAGACTTACCAGATTTTCCTTTACATCATCATTCAATGGGATGCCAACGCATTTTTATGAGGACAGAAATTGATTTAGTGCTGGCGATATAGCATTTTTTTTAGTACATAATTATATTTGCTGGAATATTCTTGAACAAGTTTTCATGAATATAACATACAAGAGCATATATAATGCAAACAAGAGAATAATTATCACCGGGGGTGCGAAATAGAAGAAGCCTTGTGCTGGGTGACGATGGTGGCAGACTGAGGGCGCGGGTGTGGAGGAGGACGGTGGTTGGAAGGAGCGCTGAAGGCGGACAGCGGAGCTGGGGGCGCTCCTGAGAGCTGCTCCTGCACCTCAAGCACCCGCAGCGCCGCAGCCACGGCAGGAGGCCGGCACACCAGCGGCGGGGAGAGCAGGTCGTCCTCAGACTCATAAGATCCTGTAACGGTTCCGTAACTATTACAAGTGAACACTACAAATTCCGTGAAAAAATATGATAAAATTAACATCAGGCGAAGATAAAGCTTAATATAAGGCTGGAAAAGTTGAAATAATTTCTACATAAAAGGAAACAAATGTGCCACACAGTTTACGAAAGACTCGTCGAAAGTGTGACATATAATAATTCAAGAACGAAATACAAGAAGTGGAAAGAAAGCTTCTACAGGTAGGGATGGAAAAGTAGACCACCAGGGAAGTCATACGAATGGTTGATTGAAGTTGTTTAACTTTAGTGACACTCTCAAATAATTAAATTTTGATCATAGAAAGCACTAAAAACACACCTAAACGTTTTTACATCATGCTTGACAATTCAACCTTGCTCTCTTAAATCATTATTCAATGAGGCTTTTCATGTCATGGGTTTTGTATATTTTTCAGCCGGATCTGCTCCGACTCAGGCTAAATTTACACTCATCTAAATAAACAAAATTCCCACTTACAAATTTTAATCTAGTTTAGACAGCAACATTCATTTTCTTGTGGAATCCTTTTTGTGGTTCCGGTACAACAACAATAATGTCGCTCCGTCATCAGCCGCCCAACTCCATGGTCTCTATAATAGGCTATGATATTTCACAAATTTCACTTCATAATTCATCATTAGCAGTAAACAAAAATGTCATCCTTCTAATTGCTTAGCACGTGAAAGCAGCATTAGACAAAACAACACATAGTCAATAGCGCTCTACTATTAAATGACAAAGGAGTTAGTTCCGTAGTTGCTAGCGCTTCAGGTCGAGCTATCTCGCGCCGAAAGTCTCATCGGACATTATTGGCTAGGGGTAGATTACATCACTTGTATTTGGTGTTGTGCGGATCATATGTAGTCAAATGCATTGACTGCCCTCAAGTACTCCACGAGTCGGTCAACATTAGGTATAGTTCCCTCGCTCTGGTTGGGCCAAAATACTTTTTAGGTTTACGTCGGGGTTGTCTTGGCATGGGTAAGGGAAAAATTGCCGCCGGGCATCACCGTAAGACGGACATTCACAGAGGAAGAAATGACAAAGGAAATAGCAGTCATAAAGTTACAGGAAAAAAACGCACCGAGGGGAGCGGGAGCAATGCCGAGGTCCATAGCCCTGAGGTGGTGTGAGAGGGAGTAAGGGGGAGGGTAAGGAGGTCGCTTGCTTGCACCAGCCCCTCCATCTTCCCCTTTGTGCCTCGCCCCTCCAGCCTCAGCTGGTCTTCTTATTCCTCCAGATTCCAGAGTTTGGAGCCGGGTCTCCAGCGATCTGATATACCACAGCACTTGCTCTGCACAAGATTTTATGATTTAAGTAATGCTAACATGAATGTGATTGAGATTATATCAACATATATAATAACATGGATATCACTATATACCTAACCCAGTAGTCAACATAATGGTTTTCCACATGAATAATAAATAATCCTGCAGACAGCTGGGATTCACCAGACATTCAATTTTTGACATAAACAAGAATGATCAAGAAATAAAATAGCAATTTTTAAAGAATAACTGAATTATATGTAGTGGGGCAACACCAATGAAGCTCATTAATACGTTTTGAACCATCGAGAAAGAAAACCTATGAAAGACCTATGTAAGAAGATGCTCATTTGAATACTTAACATCAAGTATGTTGCGACAGAAATGTAAGTAGAAGTATCTATTGTGAAATTTTCCAGAGCATTAGTGAAGTAGAAAACTCACCATTGAAGGGTGTTCTTTGTCTGCCATCATCCAAGAGCCGCTCTCTCGAGCCTGCTCTGCTGAGCCCCAAAGAAGGAGACCCACCAGTTCCTCCGTCGTCGTAGCTTGCAGCGCCCTGCAGCTCCAGCAGAACCTGAGACGGCCACTCATAATTGTTACACTTCCTTTACAACTCATCACTTTTGTGACCTCTATAAATCCAACTAGTAGAAAGGAAGTAGCACCATTATTTAGCATGGCTGAATTAAATATACTTCTATTTAGTACTCAACTTTAACTAACTGCAAATTTATTCATAAAATATCTTCCGAAAATTGAATTGCATCTCTGCTGGCTGACACATCATTGATGACAAGCGCATGAGGCGACCACACCTGTTGATGGTGGGACGGTGTTGGAGTGGTGGCATTAGATGCCGAGTGCGGTGACTCTGCTTCATTATTATTCAGAGCTTCGTCAGGATGTGTGGAAGACGATGACCCGTCACCATCGTCCCGAGCCTGCAAAGGCCGGCCACAGTTGCCGCACGTCGCGTTGCTGCGCTCCTCGTCAAGGTATAAACAAAGCTCCTGCAACACATATCTGCATTAGAACGAATCAAGTTCAGAATGAAGTGATGCTAATACTAACTACTGTTACACAAAACGTGAGTGTTGATGTTACTCTTCCAACAAAGGGAGAACTGAGACTGGTCCTGTCATAAGAAGTGATATTGTAATAGAGCCTCCAACACAGGAATACAATACAATATTGTATTGAACTAATACAAGTTTAGCATCACAAGATGGCAATACCTCAGTAAATGAGACAACGGCAACATTATTAAAGCTTCGATGACTTGCTTCATGATACGTTTTACAACACACCACAAGCACAAAGAAGACTAACTGCAACTTTAATTATAATATGGAGGAATAATTACAACTGCATCGCTATTCTTTAACTTCATGCGTTAATATTAACTATTTAAACTAAACCCTTGTTGGATTGCAGAAGTACAACCACTACTTCAAAGCTCAAAACATTTATGAAGTATTACAATGATGCAGTTCACAAGAAGTTAATTCAACTCAAACTTTGAAATTGAAATCACAGCAATGAAGTCCAAACCTTAAGCTCAAGGTTATCAGTGATGAGATGCTGCTGTCGCACTTCAAGCTCCCTCAGTTTGTTTTGGTAGGCAGTTACTTCTTGCCTCATAACAGAAGCGGTGTAGCGGCCAAAGCGCTGCCACTCACGCGCAAGCTTGCGTCCCTTCTGACGATCGTCGTCAAGAAAGCAGCACAAATCTCGTAGCTCCTGTCAAAGTATTAGAATTAAGTCTGAGAGAGCACTAAGTCAAGGAATGAGAAATTAAGCAAAGAAATCTATATAATATACAGAAACTGCAAGTTTAATTTAGAGCACCTTCTCCTGTAATATATATGCAATATATATAGGAAGAAATTACATAGATAATGCAATTGGGATCAATTTGGCATTTAATGATCACTCTGAACTAGTTTTCCAGCAGTAGTTAGTACAAATTTAAAGTAATGGAATCTCAACTAAATAGGGAAAGACCTGGTTGTCATCTGTGAGCCGTTGTAAGTGGTCTTTGAGAGAGCGCAGCTCTTGAGCCAAATTTGCACCTTCAGGCAACCTGACCTCTGCTCCCTCAACCTTGCGGCTGGCATAAGCCTTTGTTTCTCCTTGACTTGGTCTTTCTGCCCCTTGCGAGTAGAGCGGCGCTTCGAGGTATCCTGTAGGTCGGGTGGCTCCAGAACTCTGGATTGCAGGTCGGATCTCAGTTGATTTGTTATAAGCTGGATCACGGCCCCCATACGGAACATTGTGATGGTGTGGCACTGCCTCCACGTCAGGATGGTGTGGTGTGCCTACAGGGACTTGCTGATGGGATGACCCCGCTTGAGTAAGCTTGTGAGGGCCATGAACGGAGGTGTGTTTGTTGTGGTGCTGAGGTGGGGGAGGTCCAGAATAAGATCTTTGTTGAGAGCCACTTGCTCCTTGGTGTGCTTGGTAATGCCATGACTGAGGAATTGAGGAAGATGAAGAATGTGGTTGGTTAGGAATAGAAGAAGATGAGGTATGCTGTTGATGAGGAATTGAAGAAGTATGCTGCTGGTGAGGAATTGAAGAAGAGGTGTGCTGCTGGTGAGGAACTGAAGATGATGAGGAATGCTGTTGGTGAGGTATTGAAGATGAGGTAAGCGATTTGTGAGGAATTGAAGACGCTGAATGCTGTTGGTGAGGAACTGAAGATGTTGGATGTTGTGGGTATGGAATTGAAGAGGCCAAAGAGTGTTGCTGATGATGGCTGGATGAAGGATACCGAAGGGAAGCATGTGGGGGACCAGGATGTGCGACAGGAGGGGGAGGAGGAGGTGGATGAGCAGCCAGGGTATCAGGAGTGGACATTCCAGGGTTGAGACCAAGACGTCATTACCTGCAAAAAATTCAGTGACATTAACTTTCTTCAAAATTTTGCTTGTTGCTGACAAGAAAAACAAAACAATTCTCCAACAATTCCAATGAAACTACAAATGATGTGCCATTTTTTATTGAACTGACATCTTCAATGCAATCAAAAAGCTTCAAGCTGAAATTTCATTCATCAATCCATGTCACAAGCAATTGATTGTACAAAGTAAATAACATTAATTTTTAGCTGCCCAATAATTCAGCGACTTTCCAGAAATTTCAACTCATTTCGTGAACCATACCGAATATCATGTACAATAAAATATGATAACAATAAACAAATAAAATCAATATGTAGGTACCTCAATCCAAAACAAAATGGCGGCCATTTCCGCATGACGGGATATTAAGGGAAACCCCTAATACCCATAATAAGGGACACCTCTAAAACTCATTTACAGTAGGACCTCAGTTAACAAAGGCTCCAGTTAACAAAAACAATCAATTAACAACAAAGAATTTTGATTAACGTGAACCGGGGCTACTCGGGACAGTTTTGAGCGTTTTTTTGTTAATAACTGTTAATAACTTCTTATGATGAAATATTTCATAAACAAGTTTAGGCTCATTTTATAGCGCTTTGCAAGGGCTATCGCATGGCATTGTCAAAAAAATTCCATATGCTATTCATAAGGTGCCAGAAGCAAAAAAAGGAGTTTCCCGTGTAGCCCCGTTGAACGGGGCTACTCGGGACACTGGGAATAAAACTTCATTTCAAAACATTTAAAGCATGCAGAGTGTACTCATCCATTACTAACAGTACTCTGAAGTCCTCCTCTTTCATTGTAGATGATGTAGAGGTAGAATAAATGACATTTTCTGTAATTTTTACTCATTTTTCCTTTATTTATATGATATTGCCATTACATTAATTACCGTATTATTGATGTGACATTATCGTATTATTGATGCGATATTGCCGTATCCATGAACATGCCATTGAGCATTGACAACAACCTTGTCCACTGCAAGCTTCATATCAGCAGCCTTACAGCATTTTTTCTGTACCTATCTACAGGATGGCTTGTAATTTCACAACATTTTAATTGGGTTAAGTAAATTTACTATAAAAAAGATCGTGAAAAACATACCTGAAACAGAAAGGAATGTTTTAGTGACAACCATCATATGTTTTGGAGAAATAAATCATAGTTTAGGTCAATTACTTTTCATTCTATGATGCCTGGTGCACAATTCTATATATGACATTTTATGCACAATTTTGCGATGACCAATGATGCACTAATTTTTTGATAAGTGCAATTTTTCGCTGAGCAAGGTAAATGTAATAAATATTCTTTGTTTTTAATCAATTTTTTCTTAACTGGAGCCTTTGCTAACAGAGGTTCTACTGTTCATGCATTTTTGGGGGTGTCCCGAATAGCCCCGGGGGGGGTGGCCAGAGTAGCCCTGCTGTGCGGAAATGGCCGCCATTTTTTTTTTTTTTTGGAATGAGATAGGACAATTCCATCAATTACATTTTCAAGCCTGACACCTGGGTGCATCTTTTATGTAAGTAAAATTTTTTAATATGGCGAATATTTTTTTTGCTACAGACCTTAGCAGAAGTGACTTTTCAAAATAACATCTTTCACCATTTTTTTCAGGAATTTTTCGAAGCTAGTAAATGTAGTATTTTTCGACTTCCTTTATACTACATAGATAGGAAAAATGTTGAAGTTTATGCCACTATATTTAGTTTTGCAATATTCCAATTAGTTTTGCTACTATAACAGTTTACGCCGTGTCAGAGGACTGTCCCGAGTAGCCCCACCCGTCCCGAGTAGCCCCGGTTGATGGTACATTTAGTTTACCTTGCTCAGCAAAAAACAATTTCACTAAACAAAAAAAAAAAAACGAATCTTCGATCATCACAAAATTGTGCATAGAGTGTCATAGATAGAATAGTGCAGGTGGCAATATAGAATGAAAAGTACCATCAAACGGGGTAAAAAGGGATGGATTTGAGCGTTTTTTGTTAATAACTTCTTACCATGAAACATTTCAGAAACAAGTTTAGGCTCATTTTATAGCTCTTTGCGAGGGCTGTCCAATGGTATCTTCAAAAAAATTCCATACGCTATTCGTAAGGTGCCAGACGCAAAATAAAACTGTCCCGATTTAACCCTCAAAGCGGGGTAATCCAGGACACTTGCAATAAAAGTTAATTTTAAAACATTTGAAGCATGCAGAGTGTACTCATCCATTACTAACAGTACTTTGAAGTCCTCCTCTTTCATTGTAGATGATGTAGATGTAAAATAAATGACATTTTCTGTGATTTTTACTTGTTTTTCCTTTATTGATATTATATTACCATATTCATTAATTACCGTATTATTAATGTGATATTACTGTATCTATGGACATGCCATTGAGCATTGACAACAACCTTGTCCACTGCAAGCTTCATATCAGCAGCCATGTAGCATTTCTTAAGTATCTGTAGCATACGGGATGGTTTGTAATTTCGCACAATTTTAATTGAGTCAAATGATTTCACTATAACAAGAAAGATCGTGAAAAACATACCTGAAACAGAAAATAGTGTTTTATTAACAACCATCATATGTTTTGGAGAAATAAATCATAGTTTAGGTCAATTACTTTTCATTCTATGATGCCCGGTGCACAATTCTATTTATAGCATTCTATATACAATTTTGTGATGACCATTGAGGCACTAATTTTTCGATAAGTGAATTTTTTTTCACTGAGCGAGGTAAAGGTAATCAAAATTCTTTGTTGTTAATCAACTTTTTTGTTAACTGGAACCTTTGCTGAGGTTCTACTGTAAATGCATTTTTAAGGGTGTCCCTAATTACCCCCGGGGGGTGTCCCGAGTAGCCCCGCCATGCGAAAATGGCTGCCATTTTTTTTGGAATGAGATATGCAAATTCAGTCAATTGCGTTTTCAAGCCAACACCTGGGTGCAACTTTTATGTAAGTAAAATTTTTTAATACATCGAATATTTTTTTTGCTCCAGACCTTAGCAGAGGTACTTTTCCAAAATCGCACTTTTCACACTTTTTTTCAGCGATTTTTTAGAGATAGTAAATGTTTGATTTCTTGACTAGCTTTATACATAATAGATAGTAAAAATGTTGAAGTTTACACCACAATTTTTAGTTTTGTAATATTTTGATTCGTTTAGCTGCTACAACATTTCTATGAAATGTCGGAGGCGCGTACCGATTTACCCCGCCCATCCCTTTTTACCCCGTTTGACGGCAATTAACCTAAACTGATTACTTTCTAGAAAAATATAATGGCAGATGGTTGTCACTAAAATATTCCATTCTGTTTTCAGGTAAATTTTTTATATTTTTTTTGTTATAGTTAATTCACTTGACTCAATTAAAATGGTGCAAAATTACAAGCCATCCTGTAAGCTTACAGTTGAAATTGAAACTGGGGTGTGTGGTGACCTCCAGTCACGACCTTTAAATTGGTCATACATGCTGCATGAAAAACTTCTACTAGCATCAAAAAATTAAAAGTTCACACTCGTATGTTAACAAAAAAGTTTAAGGGGAGCATCTAGGGTAAAATTTATCTCGGCTATTCACAGACGGATCACTCTTTAACTTGGTACACATATGTAAAACAGAATTCTAAGACATTTTTGTTTGTGTGAATTTTTTGAAAAAAAATAAAAGAAAACGTAAAATTCTTAGAAAACGGCCAAACAGGGGGGTACTGTAGAAATCTATCTCCTCCTAGGATTTGCAAGCTACAACATCGAGACACATATCATTCGATGCGTAAAGACCATATCTACAAACGTCACTTAGCGGTTTTTTGGATTTCTCATTTTTGTGGGTGTGGGAGCATTTTTTTCCAATATTTTTTGAAATTTTTCGATTTTACCCCCGCCCTCCCCCACTTTTTGCAAAATAAAATCCGAACTATAACGAAATTGGAAAAACGACAAAGTGACGTTTGTAGATCTTTCATTTTCTAATCGAATAGTATATGTCTCATGGATGTAGCTTCGAAACTCTAGGAGGAGATAGGTTTGCAGTGACAATAAGTTAACTTTTCAGTAGAGCCCATCAAAGTCCCACGTGCATCGGAATAGGCACTCAATGTAGCAAGGATACAAAACTAAATGTTACTGGAGCTTGATTCCAGTCAAGGATGGTGGGAGCGACTGCATGCACACCTCCTCATACGACGCCAGGCAGGTAACTAAGGTACACTTCAAGCAGACACTATTTAAAGTGCTCACAACAAATTTCCTCCCATTCTACTTGTTAAAGAACTACCCCACCCCCCTCCCTTTCATGATATGTCGTAAACGCATAAATCAATGTACAGAGATGGTTTTGGTACTGTTGGATAGGTCAGAATGTCAGCTTTAAGATGAGACTAAAAACCGGAAAAGCCAAAATCCAAAATTTTACCACGCTCCCCTTAATTAAACCATATTCACAGGCAATCACAGCAGTCCCAAGAAAAAAATATGAAACTTAACAATTTTGTTATGCAACATCCTAAAAAATAAAACAATGCGCTAAAACAATTTGGCACAGTCACATATGTCTTCCCACCATCCCCTCTCTCAACCCTTAACTCCTCAAGAGTCAAGACCACACTCTTATCATCCTCCTCCTCTCCCTCATCCTCCACAAGTTTTCCAAAATATCTCTTCAAACTCTCAAAGATAGCCGCACTTGCTCCCTCAGACAGACCCGTAATTATTGCCATTAACTCTTGGCTTGTTCTCTCATGCCCCGCCTTGTTAATCTCACCTCTCTCACTCAGAATCACCCCCATCACAGACAGCGCTCTGCTCTCTCTCATACGCCACACATTCCATCAACAAGTGCTCCACAGTTTCCTTCTCATCCCCAACATTCCATCAACAAGTGCTCCACAGTTTCCTTCTCATCCCTTCTCATCACACATAAAATATTTATCTTCTCTCCTTTCATTCCACCTGTATGTACGTCCATTCACACCTAGCACCCCTGCCCTAACACAAAACAGAAGGTCCCCACCTCTACTACCGCCATACATAGGCCTACATTCATTTTTTCATACATAGGCCTTTCCCTCCATCAGTGTGGAATTCTGTATAGGTAATATATTCTCATGTCAATTTAAGAAAACGTATCGAAATACCAACCCTACCACCGTTGTAGCGGTTCGATCAACTGGGGTTCCACAAAACCTATGTGGATATGAGCCCCCTTACCCCATGAGACTATCCCACTCAAGATGATTAGACTGAATTTGGGACAATGAAAATGATTGAGATTAAATTTAGCAAGCGGGTATTAAGCTTCAGCAAGAAGCAGGACACTTACTCCATACAGTATAGCAAAAGGGAACACAAAGCATAACACCAGACTTAATGCTGTAATGCAAATGTCAAAATGTAAACACTCAAAGCAAAGAAACACTCAATTACTGTAAAAGCAACCAAAGATTTACCAAGATCATAAGCCAAATTGGGTGCAATTTAGTTAAAGCATGAAAATGGGTAGGACAGGAAATTAATGCATCATATTAGCAGTTCACTGCAACTCACCCTTAAGGAGCGTTGAAGTTGCTTAGGAAACAGGAGTATGTGGAAGAACCAGAGTATCGACAGTTTGGCAAGCAGGATTAGGTTGACAATCACTTCAAGGTAAATTGGAATTCAGGCAATGGATGCAGACATTGATAGACAATCAGGTGCAGATAGGCACAAGTTCAAGCATGACCATGCTGGTGCATGTTAAAGGTAGGCTCTTTTTCACTGGCAACACTGGACACGTGTATTGGTAAAGCCAATAACAAAGATATATGTCTGAAACAAACACAGAAGAAACACACACATTATTAATAACAAAACAAAATTTAAACCACTCCTTCTAAAGGAGAAAACCAGATGATATTAGGAGGCATGACCTAGAAATAAGAAAATACACTATGATACAATACAGCTAATGTTCTGCGGCCCTCTTCATACCTCCCCCCCTAGTGCTGATCAAGGGAAGCACGAAAATAGCATTGACAGAGGACGCAGAACAATATTATGGACATTCCAAACAACAGGACTTCACTTCTCAGTTTCCCTTACAGTTCTTTTCCAGGTTGAGTTAAGTCACTTTCCTTCACCACACTTGAACTTGATAGCTCTGCCAGATTAGGTTGATTCAATGTCCCAAAGGCTTGGCTCCTGCGGCGATATTCCTTGATTATATCGTTTGCCTCTTTCAATGATTTCCACACTGGACTAAGACTAATGCGTCGTACTGGCACTCGGCTCCGCAGGGTTGTAACCCTGGGAGGGGTTTGCTGGAATCCACCGAAGTCAGGAGTCGCATCCTCTCCTACTGGTATTGCAGTATCATGGCAAACTGGTGATGTCTGGTGTGGAGGGACTAGGGACTCCATCCTAAGATCTCCACCAGGTTGCACTTCAGCAGTGGTTACTGGAGAAAGGGGTACTTGGAAACCACTGAAATCAGCTGGTGGATTATCTTCCGGAGACCACACAATATTGGGATACATTTCCGATGCTTGTGGTGTTGATTGTTTTCCTTGTTCCAGGTTCTCAAACATGATTTCAGCAGCATCTTCACTTTTCTCAGGTGATTGTTCATTCGTTTTCAGAGCAGGGTTTTGTTCCTCACAAATCACTGGGGTGGTAAATCTAGGAACCTCAGAATGGGCTGCAGATTCCTTTGGAAGTTCCTCCTGATTTCTCACAGGTTGAGAGACCTCAGACTCCTTTTCACTCTGCAGATGTGTGTTTAACTGCTTTAGTCAGACTAAATCCTAATTTTGCACTTCTGGTTTGTTAGCTAGACAGACTAAAGTTTCAACTACTCTTGACACAACAACATGATTCCCTCACTGATGTATGGGGCATTCATGAGTGGATTATGAAAGACAACTGGTCCTACTAAGTCGCACAAGTCATTAAATAGACTTCTATACTCCTAGTCACACTAGTATACTAATCGGTAATTATACTCCTAGAAACAACTAGAAAATTGGTCTAAGTCACATATGTCTGGATTCATAGTATCTAGGAAAAGCACAAGGTTCATCAACTTCAAGTTGGTATCTAAATCAAATTTTGGTTCATAGGTGTAATCTCTTATCTTCTTTCTTGATGGCCAGGAATTGGTTGAGTGATCATCGGTTCTCATCAAGAAGACTGTAGTTCCACACCAACCGCTCCTAAACGTCAAATAAATGCGTTCATAAGAACTAGCCTTCTAGAAATATTGACATCAGGAGGATGTTTAAACTGTTATGTCACACACAAAGTCATCAATGCATTAGTTTCAGAAGCAAAGTTATTCAAGGGTCGACACAACATGGTTTAAGTAAGCAAAAATGAAAATTGTGCAATAAAAGGGACAAGATTGACATGAGAACCAGTGAAAACCATCCTTCATTCTATAAACAGGCATGAATAACTGGAAAACATTTGTTAAGAGCTCAGCAAAGACAAATATAAGCATGGTGACATTTTAATGAGCTGGAATGCACTGTACTCACCAAAATGGAGCATCAGGATGGGAATCATGGGATTAGCAAGCAGAAATGTAGATCAAATCATGCAATAAAGCATCTTAAACAGGCTTTTGATGGTCAGAAAAGAATCAGGTGCAACAAGTGAATTTCCAATTCAGCAAGCAGAGATGCAGATTAATCAAAAGTGCACATCATATGGACTTGCAAGAATTTTGTCTCAGTAACTTTTACTCTGCTTAAATATTACAATAAGGGAAACAAGATACAAGATTAATAACATGCACATGACACTCGAAAGATAATGAAATAAAACATGAAATACATTAAGGTACAATTGTAAATGAATGATTCTACTGGGTACTATAGCTAATGTTCTGCGGCCCTCTTCATACCTCCCCCCCTAGTGCTGATCAAGGGAAGCACGAAATTAGCCTTGGCAGAGGACGCAGAACTACAATATGGACATTCCAAATAACAGGACTTCATTTGCCAGTTTCTCCTACATTTCCTTTCCATGAGGATTCAAGTCATTTTCCTTTTCCACACTTGAACGTGATAGCTCTGCCAGATTAGGTCGATTCAATGTCCTAAAGGCTTGGCTCCTGTGGCGAAATTCCTTGATCATATCGTTTGCTTCTTCCAATGATTTCCATACTGGGCTAAGACTAATGTGTCGTACTGGCCCTCGGCTCCGCAGGGTTGTAACCCTGGGAGGGGTTTGCTGGAATCCACTGAAGTCAGGAGTCGCATCCTCTCCTACTGGTATTGCAGTATCATGGCAAACTGGTGATGTCTGGCATGGAGGGACTAGGGACTCCATCATAGGCTCTCCACCAGGTTTCACTTCAGCAGTGGTCACTGGAGAAAGGGGTACTTGGAAACCACTGAAATCTGCTGGTGGATTGTCTTCCGGAGACCACACAATATTGGGATACATTTCTGATGCTTGTGGCGTTGATTGTTTTCCTTGTTCCAGGTTCTCAAACATGATTTCAGCAGCATTTTCACTTTCTTTAGGTGATTGTTCATTCGTTTTCAGAGTAGGGTTTTGTTCCTCGCAAATCACTGGGGCGGTAAGTATAGGAACCTCAGAATGGGCTGCAGATTCCTTTGGAAGTTCCTCCTGATTTCTCACAGGTTGAGAGACCTCAGATTCCTTTTCACTCTGCAGATGTGTCTCTAACTGCTTCAAGTAGGCCTGAGTCTCATCTAGTATTTCCAAGGCAGAACTCAACAATGTATCCTGCCACATTGCTTGACTTTCTCTGAGAAGTTGCTGACGAGGGTGAAGAACAGAGATATCAATCTGCTGTTCTTGTTGGAATGATATAAAATATTATAAATTCTGCTCTTCCTTCATCTACTGGAGTGGAATGGGTAAATTCCCTTGGTGGTGGAGAACAGCTAGACTGGACCACACCAGGTTCTTCTGGCTATGGTGCTGGAAGAGTGTCACTGGTCTGGAAGCCAAGAAATGGCTCTTCACCTGAAGCTGTACTTGGTGGTGACACTCTAGGTTGCTGTCTGGTCAGGAGGTCTGGGTTTGAGTGTTCAGGATTTTTCCTCCTGGGCGGTGCTTTTGCTGGGCTAAACCCAGAGAAGTCAAGGCATCCTGATGATGAGGAAGAAACCAGTTCATGATGGTCCTCTTTGCCTTGGCTGCTCTCCTCAGTGGTGGAAGACTCATAGGCTTGATGAGATGTATCTTTCTGCCTAGCTAGTACCTTATAAGAGGGATGCTCTTGTAAATACATGGGAGCGTCCACCCAAAGTTTCAGCTGGGAATGGTGAACTTTACACTGCTTTTTAGTAGAAGAGTTTATTGTTTCAATCACATAAGTAACTGAGTTTGGGTTGGTTTTGACAATCCTGAAGGGTCCTTCATACCTGGGTTTGAATTTGTTACTTGTACTGTGTCCAAGGTGATGAATTTTCTTTAGGATAAGTTCACCCACTTGGAAAGGAGAAAAACTTGGGTGACCAACTCTCCAGTGCTCCTGTGTTGGCTTGGGGATTACCGGGGTGCTCTTGATCTTGTGTGAGGAACGCAAGAGATAGTCTGACGGTGACATCTTGAGCTTGGAGTGCCAAGAGTTGTTATAGGCTACCACAACCTTTGCCAAATTATCCACCCAGCAAGATGGATTGTCCTCACCAAGGCATCGCAATAACTCTGAAACAGTGCGGTTAACCCTTTCAACAAGGCCATTGGATGAGGGTTTGTATGGGGTAGAGAAGACGTGTTGCCTACTCGCTGCTCTCAGTTCCTACAGCATTTTTGTGCTTCCTGGACATTATGTGCTTTTTCAACTCGGAAGGCTTGTTACATGTACCGTATAATCATTACATAGCAGGCATTCATATACCTTTTTGTTATGTGTCGACAGCATGTGTTTTATATAATCAGATTTGTTTCTGGCTGAAAATTGACACACATTACATGTCTTGAATGAGTCCACTGAAAACGACCTGTTTGCGTTGTGGCTGTTCGTGGGTGGGGAAACACTACGCTCCCTTTCCTCACACGCGGAGCCAGAGCGGATGAGAGTAGAGCGTGAAGGGCGTGTAGAGCGTGAAGGGCGTGTAGAGCGCTCGCAGCTCACCTGCCCACTCTTCCCAGATGAGGTGGCACACTCCTGCAACAAGGTGACTTGTTGCCCCTCTTCCTCCGTTGAGTCCCGGCTCAGGTGTGATGCCGAGGAGCGCTCCTGCTCTAGCAGTTCTGAAGTCATCTTGACCTCCTCCCCGATGGTTGATATGGCTGTTTTAGCTCTTGCAAATATTTCTTCTTGACGCTGCAGACGGTCCTTGTAGAGCTGAATCTGAGTGGCGCTGTGCTGCACCTTGCGCTGCACCTTGCGCTGCTCCTCCAGGAGCAATTGGTATATTGCTTCTTTTTCGTTTTTTTCTTCTTTGACCTTTTCGTGCAGCTTTACCTGCCTTGGTAAAGGCAGGCCTTTGACTGAAGGCCTTTACCTGCCTTAGACTGTAGATCTAAAGGTCCCCGGTTCGATCCCGGGTCTGGGCACCAAATTATGTGGCGGTTCCCGGTAAGCCCGCACAAATATGCGAGACTGTAACTCTTGAGACCTTGGTCATGGAACAAATACTGAATGTGGTCAGAAGGAGTCACATTCAGGAAGGCATAAAACATGGAAAACACTAAACAATTTACTACTAACAAAACACAAAATACAAAATGGCAGATACAACAATAAATGAATGGTACCTAGTCTAACTGGAACACTAGCGGTGGTGTCAGTTCAGCCCACTTGGTGGTCTGGGTAAAGTACTCTAATGAGTGGACCACTGAGGCCTCTCAGCGTTTCAGTTTCAGGTAATTACAAGATAATAGAAAAGTGACAAATAAAAAAATAGTTATTAACAGCTTCTGCTGCCAGATAATAACATCTTACTCAAACCTTAGCCAAGGCCAACTATGGTTTTAACAACCATAAATCAAGTAGTAACCATCACAGGCTTTAGGTACAAGCCAAGGAGTGATAGTTGGCAAGGCAGAACTTGACCACTGGTGGAGGGATGGAGATCAA